CGCTGGTGTCATGGAAGTCCGAACCATGGGAGAGGCAGCAAAGAGGGACGAAACCCTGCTGCCTCTTTCAAAGGGGGGAGAGAACCTCTCCCAGTTGGAGAGGGCTCTCACCAAGGTGGGATACAATCCCTGGAGTTCTGTGGCGGAGCTTCAAAAAAGCGTACATACTAGGCAGGACTTGTTAGACCTGTATGCCAAGTATAAAAAGCAAAAGGGTAAAAACCTAGCAGCAGCTGTGGGATTAATCTAAACTGCAGCGGCCATGTGGTATCAAATGTTGTTGAGACAAAAAGAACAGTTGGGGAAAAGGTGTGTACCTGATTGCTGGTAAAAATTAAGCAACTAAAAATGCAAATTACTAACCACGCTGCAACCCAAGCCTATGCTCAGAACAAGTTGCAAGCCATTAAAACAAAACTTCCAGACGAAAAAGGCAAAACGCACCTGCCTGGAAGCACTAGCTATGCAAGTACCAGTCCTTCAAGAACTTGTTGAGGATTTAACCATTCGTATGCAAAATACACCGCAAAGGCAGTGTGCTCGCCATAAAAAAAAAATTAAACAGTTAAAATGCCAATTGGCCGTGCGTTCTGTCCAAGTGGCAAGCCTCACGAAAAATAAATCAGGTAACCCTTGTAAGGGCTTTAATCTCTCCCTCTGTGAGAATCCTCAATTTTGGGCAAAACCTTGTTGCACCCCCATAGCAGCCCTCATTAAAACTAAGGAGAGGTCCATCAAACAACTCCAGGATGGGGCTTGGGTCGAAACTCAGAGTGTTTCAGCCAGAATTCAAAGTCTGCTGGGCCCGGCTAACATCTCCATGCTGGCTCGCGAGTTTGGCCGGTTTAAAATAAAAAAAGCTGCTACCTGGCTTCTTTCCTTCTAAAATATCATACCTGTAAATAATTTGTCCCAGCAAAAAATTAAGCGGGTGCTCACCGCTGCCAGTTCAAAGCTGGCCTCCACCCTAAAAATCGCAGTGGGTCAGCTGCAGGGAGAGGGGTTGCTTGTTGTGCAAGCTGTGGCGAAAGTCCTTCTTTCCACCCAAGAAAAATGAAAATATCTGTCAAACCTGGACCAGGCCCTGGAACAAACCAGGTTAAATTATTTTTATCAACAACGTTTAATCGCGCTGGTCGTGAAGAAAATCCAGCCAGTGACCGCAGCACAGTGTCACTTGTCCCAACGTCCCTGAACCATTGCTCAGTTACAAAAGCTTACAAAACGGATAAATAATTGGTGAAGAGATAAATTGGGGCTTTGGGCCAAGGACAAACCCGTCACCTGGAAGGCATTAAAAATAAAATTATGCAAATTGCTAAGCATTTCAAAAAACCAATTAAAAGGGTAAAGGTGGCAGCGCTCCAGGCCACCCAAAAGGTGGAAGGTACCCCCACATATACTAACTGGGTACCCAGGAACGGCGAAACAAAGCCAGTTAAAAGCCAATCAAACCGGCGCCCCAAAGAGGGCCAGTCTTTGCCACTAACTAAGAAGAAGGTATATAAAACCAAAATGGCAGTCCGTAGGCAAGCTTGGAGCTCCCTCCGGGCTCTGGCAGAGGATATGAACAGATGGTATAAAAAACCCACTTTAGTGTTAGTAAAAAGGCTCTTGGCCCTCTCGGCCAGGTGGGATGAATGGGCCGCCAGCATCTCCAAAACCCAGGCCCACACGTTGAGTGATATGCCACCCCTGCCCCGGCCTGTGGCAGCAGCCACCCCTTCCGCCCCATCGGTGGAGAATTATCGCCAGCTCCACAAGCAACTCCCATGGGCTAGGAACCCCAGGGAGGGCTTCGGTTAGGGCAGCCCCATTGTCAGCCAGGCGTCCCGCTGGCAGTATCAGGGTAAAGGAACCTAAAACTCCAACCGGCGCCCCAAAATTGCTGTTGTAGTCATTCAGAGTCCATGCGTGGCCCTGTTGGACAATGGGGCTGGTATAAATGTATTAAATTTTATCCCTGCTAAGGGCAACCCAGGGCCTCCTACCCGGGTCTCTGCCTTCAATTCGAAGCCGCAACAGCAACTAACCCGGAACCAAGTCCCAGTAACGATTGTAAAAACAGTTTTACATGCCTCATTTATCATTAACCCCTCCTCTATAAAAAAGGTAATTTGGGGAATGCCATGAATGCTGGAGCAGCGGCTGTGGTTTAATCCTTACGATCAAGGGGGCACACTATGGCAGGAGAGGGGCATGCCCCTGCCCCGGGACGAGGGGGGTAGGTTTGCCACCGCCATATTGGCAGCTTTAACTGCAGAGGAGGAGGCATATTGAAAACAAGTGGTGCCAGGGGTCTGGCAAACATATCCCTCCAAGTGTGGTAGGCATAAAACGGCGCTAGTGGAGGAGGTGGAGTCCCTGGTTCCCCTGCAACAACAATATCCTTATTCCAAAGCAGTGGAGGAGGTTATTGCAAGGGTAATTGCCAATTTGAAAAGACAAGGGGTGCTGCAAACTACCCATAGCCCCTTTAATAGCCTGGTCTTTCTGGTATTAAAGGCGGGAGGGCAGGCCTAACGCCTTACCATAAATTACCAAAAAAATAAAGCAAAACACCCCCATAATGGCACCAGTAGTCACTTCAATGCCTAAGGTCTTGCTCCATGTGCAGCCACAAAACAAATGGTTTTCGGTTATTAACCTAGCCAACTGCTTTTTTGCCTTACCCCTTACCCCTGCCTCCCAAGACCGCTTTGCATTTCAGTTTAGGGGAAAACAGTTGACTTTCACATGCGTCCCCATGGGATTCCACAATGCCCCCTCCATCACCCACCAGCATGTGGTGGCTATGCTAGATGAATTGCCCCCGAAGGTCCGTTGCCATGTCATTTCATACGTGAATAATTTGTTGGTGCATGGAAAAACAAAACCCCTGGCGCAAAACTTTACGAAAACAATTCTAAATAAAAAACTGGGTTCAAGGTGTCATTAAAAAAGGCACATTTGGTCCAGCAGTCAGTCATCTACTTGGGCATCACCCTGTGGGAAAGGGGCAGGCTAGTAAATGTAGCCAAGGTCCGTGCATTGTGTAAGATGAAAAAGCCCACCAACTTAAAACAATTGCGCACTATTTTCGTGGGCTTTAACTTTATTCGAAACCACATTCCCAATTTTGCCACTCTCACTTGTGGGCACTGCTTAAAAAGAGGGCTCGTGGCACTGGGCCGAGGAACCACAAAAAAACACCTTTAATGCCTTAAAGCGGGCTGCCGTGCAAGCACTGGCCCTCGCTTTCCCAGGCATTGCCAAGCCCTTTTACCTTTGGCTGTCCTGTGGTCCGGAGGCACTGGGGGCCGTCCTCCTTCAAAAAATCACGAAGGGTCTGCTAATCCCAGTTGCATACAATTCCCGGGCGCTACAGCAGCCAAAGATAAAATATAGCCCCTGTAAAAAAAAAAAAAAAAGCTTGGCGGCGGTATGGGCAGTGCAAACTTTCCAGGCATACACTGAAGGAGCACCAATAGTACTGCAAACCCCGCACACACACTTAAAATACATTTTAACCGGGTCCAAAATGCGTTCAGTCTCAAACACCCGCTTGGCACAGTGGACCCTGTTTCTCACTCAAAGGAGGGTGGCCTCAAAAACTCTGCAGTCCCCGGACCTGCTCAGCACGGCCCTGGTGAAACGGTGCAAAGCATTCCTGCAAGGTTGCCAAGCGGAAATGGACAGCTGCCTGGGAATGGGATCCCCTCCCAATCCTTCACAATCCAAACCGGGCCAATCATTTATGGTTTACCAATGGCTCCTTCTTTTTCCACCAAGGGAATTGGTACGCCCAGTGAGCAGCTTTCAGTGGGGGGGATGGGGGTGAGCCTCACCAAAAACGTAGCGCATGGCTCAGCACAAAATGCCAAAATAAAGGCAGTGCTCCAGGTTCTAAAATATAACGCTCAGTTGGGGGAGAACTGTGCGGTATACCTCATTCCAAACAATAGATATGTGGTGCAGGGGGTATCAACGTATATGTTTTATTAAAAAAAAAATTAAAACACCGCAAACCGCAAGCCCATCAAACATCAAAAAAGTGGCAAAAAATAATGGCATTATATAAAGCACAAAAGGGGAAGGTTTACATTGCCTGGGTAAAATCACATGCCTATAAGGATAAGGGATTACTTCATAAATAAAACAAACAAGTAAACAAACTAACTCAAATTTGTTCTAAGGTAGCAGCCTTAATCACAAAATTAGCTACCACCAAGCAAAACAACATGGTCTGGAAATTACATGAGTGGGCATATGAGGGGGTGGAGGAAACCCTATTCAAAGTCAAACAGTGGCACAGTGGCCAAAACAAAAACAAATGATGCAACGAATCGTAGAGGGATGCCTTAAGTGTGCCCAGGTAAAGCGAGAGGCCCAGCTCCCTGTTTTGCAGGGGCAAAAAACCCAAGGGGTATGGCACCATCTGCAAATAAATTTTACTAATTTACTACCAACAACATAAAAGGGATGTAATACCTTAAATACCTCCTAGTAATAATTAATGTATTTTCTGCCTAAACAAAGGCATTCCAAACCCGGGTTAATACTGTGGCAGTGGTGCCAAAAAACTCTATAAGAAAATCTTCTGCCAGTACGGCACACCCTAAATTATGTTTTCTAATCAGGGGGTGGCTTTTGGGGAAAAAGTCCTTAAATCCTTGCTGGCAGCCTTAAACATTAAGCAACAAATTCACATCAGTTATCGGCCACAAAGCAGTGGCACTGTAAAAAGGCAAAACCAAAATCTAAAAAATGCCCTCTGGAAAATGTGCTCTACTTCGAAAATGAACTGGCCCCAAAAGCTGACAACCATTTTGGCAGCTTTACGCAATTCAAACTGCCTAGGTACCGGGTACACCCCCTCCCATATTCTTTTTGGTTACCCAATGATGTGGGGCAATCTATGAAAATGGGAGAAAAGCTCGCCCGCCAATTCACCAAAGGGTTGGTATATTGCCCAGCTTAAAAAAAAAACTTTCTAAAACCCGTAAAGCAGTAAAGGGCACTCTAAACAAACAAACAAACAAAGGCCAGATGCAAAAAAACCTTCAAAAAAAAAAACGACCGGGGGTGGCAAGTCAAAAATAAGGTAATGTTACAAAAACTGGGGAGAGCGGCCCATACCTTAAATGTTAAGTGGATGGGCCCGTACCCCATGGTAAACTGCATTTCTCTGGTAGTTTACCAGCTGCAGCTACCCAGTAAATTAAAATGGGCACATGCCAACCAGCTTAAAACCTATGCTTCTTTCTCGGTTTCTAATCATAACGTCGTGGGCCTCAGTTGTGAACCAGCCACCTGCCTGAACCATCCAGATTTCCATCTATCCATGGAATTATTTGAATTACAAAACAAACAAAAAAGTACTTCCAAAGGCTCTCCATGGTTCGAGCCACCAATGGGGCTCAAGCCACAGTATGGCGCAAGGCTGGAGGGGAGGGGCCATGGGAACAATGCATAGTCCAAATAAACACCCTAGGGCCACAGAGAAATACATGGTGGGTGGCCCCGGACCTTCCATGCATCCCCAGAGGGACAAACTCTGTTCCCCCTGTGGTGGCCTGAAGCAAAATAAAAGCCTAAGGCAAAATGGAAGGCCCCTTGGCAAGCAATAGCCACCCCTAATCCCTAAACAAAATATTGTTGTTACAACCTCCTAAACCAGGCAAAGAACATCCATAATAAAAGCCCAAACAAGCCATAGCAAAATAACTAAAGGCTTAGAGGATTTTATGTGCCTCAGTTTCCCCAATAGATGCACTTATAATATGTTGCTTTTTTTCCCCCTTTGCTTTGTTAACAGTGCAAGGCAGTAACAAAAGCCCCAAAACACCCCAAACAAAAGCTGTGGAACCGCTCTTGCTGCTTTAAGCCTATGGAATTCGTCAGGGCAATACAGTGTATGTATGATGGTACATTTCTATCGAAATCCTCATGTTTCCGTCGCTTTCAGCCTCCTTTGTTAATTTTACTGTTCTTCAAAATTGGCCCTGGTGAAAAAAACAATCGATTATCCACTGGCAGGGGGGCAATTGTGGCTTAGCATCCTGGGAATGTGGCGTCACATATTACCTGGGCATTTTCCCAGGGGCAGCCCCCTGCCGAGAGCCCCAGGTCCCCTGGCCCTGTGTATCCCTCCCAAATTAAATCCCAAGCAAAATTAATCCAAAAGGGCCCTAAGCCACGCCAAACATCATCATAAAAAACAACATTACATCCCTGCACTACCTAAGCCCACCTCCTAAAAGGTGTGTGTCTACCTGGAAACAGTGGCCCCTACCTTTAAAGGAAAAAAAAACCTCCATCCTTACTGCCAATGCTTGCGGTTCCACTGGGAGGGAAAAATCTAAAAAAAAAAAAAAAAAAAAGGCTCTAATAAACTACCAATGGCAGGGTACATGGGCAGGTGTTCAATGTCACAAAAACATTCAATTTGCCATCCAAGTCACTGCTCCACATGAACAGCTGGCATAGGGATGTAGCTGCAATATTAGTCCCCGAACGGTGTAAGGTGCAACCTAACCCCCACAGTTCCACATGTTGGTATATCATCCACTCACACAGCCTGCCAGTGTAAAAAGGCACATATTACCTGCCTCAAACAATTTCCAGCATCCCTTCTTAAATGAAGCCTCCTCCGCTTAGTCCCTAGTCTTCAAAAAATAATCCTAGAAAGGCACCTCCACCTCTCCCCTCACCAGCATTGGTGGCAGATGGCACCCGCCACCAACTAGGAGGCGGCCACTCAATGCTAAATCCTCCTAAATGCCACCTTAAAAGTATTAAACATTGACCTACCCCTACCACGACTTCAGGCAGGGCTGGTGTAACCACTAGGCAGACCAGTCGGCCGCCTAGGGCGCCAAGATTTGGGATGCCAAAAAGAGGTTCCCTCCAATTTTTTTTTTTGCTTCATCCAAAATGGGACAGGGCGCAGTTCAGTCCTTTCCCCAAGCCGCCTTCCCCCATACCTGGGTCTCCCTTGCTCTCTGTCTTTTCCACACACTACATTGGGCAGCTCTGTCCCATTATGTGTGCAGGTTGCCTCATGGCAACCCAGTTGTGCACGCAAGGAGGGTTCATCTTTGTTCCTTTCTCCTTCCAGGGAAAACCTCTGCCTGGGGCAAATAAATCAAGGAGCCGGATCAGAGAGCTTGTCAGGAATGGTCTAGATCAGTGGCTCTTAACCTGGGGTGCATGCACCCCCTGGGGGTGGGAGATGTCTTTTCTGGGGGTGCGAGACGTGCCAGATTTTTTTAGAAGGTAAATCATCGAAAACACAAATTAAGCACAGGCCCATAAGTACAACTACTTTGTTTCATCAAACCTATATATTTATTAACTTTATACATTTTTTAACGATTACTGTAACATACAAACAAAAAAATATATCTAGGTTTAAAGAACTGACCTACTTCAACAATTTTTCATAAGGGCTGTGAGAACATATTTTGAGAACCAAAGGGGTGCAGGCTGCAGTAAAGGTTAAGAACCACTGGTCTAGATAATACTTAGTCCTGCAATGAGTGCAGGGGACTGGAATAGAGGACCTCTCGAGGTCCCTTCCAGTCCTACGATTCTATATCCATGAGGAGATGTCAGAGAGACAGGCTGAGATTTTAGTTGAACAGATGGAGAGAGGTCCAGAGTAGAGAGGTAGGTCTGCATAAAGATGGTAGTTGAATTTGTGTTTGTGGCTAAGATTACACAGAAATAAGGTGTAAAGGAAGAGAAAGGAACCAAGAACAAAGCCCTGTGGAATCTCAGACTGAAAGTTGCAGAGGGTGGTGGTGCGGGCAGGGAGGGAGAGAGCAGGGGGGAAGGATCCTCTGAAGGACAGACTGAAGGAGTGATTTCAGAGGCAGGAGGAGAACCAGGAAAGAACAGTCACAGAAGCCACAGGAGAACAAGAATCCAAGAAGAGCATGACTGACTATGTTAATATGGCTGACAAGTCAAGACAATTATGATGGAGTGCTGGGTTCTGAGCTTTGGCTAGGAAGAGGTCATTAGGGACTTTGCCAAGAGCAATTTCAGTTGAGTGAAAGGGACAGAACCAGGATTGGAGAATAGTCTCAGATAAAATTGGAAGAGAGCAACTCCAGACAATTATTGTAAACAGTGCATTCAGTGAACTCAGAGAAGAAAGGGGGAAGGGAGATGGGGCAGTAGTCAAACAGATGGGAAATACTAAAGCTTACTTGTATTGTGACAGGGAAAATCCAGAGGAAAGTGAGAGGTTAATGAGAAGAGTAAGGGAGGGGAGGAGAGTAGATGCAAGAGAGACAGGATGGGATGCCTACAGCATACAGAGGGGTTAGAATACATGGGGCCTTGCTCATAATGCTTTCCGCTCGGGCTAAAACTGGTAGGTATAAAAAAGCATAACCCAACATCATCTTCATTCTGTTTCATTCTGAAAGGAGATTCACACGTGATCTCCTCTACTGCTATGGAAAAAAGGTACGAATAATAAGGAGGGGAAGAAAGAATTAAACCTCTGCTTGTGGTACATATTACCCCTGTGGCTCAACAAAAGAAGCAAAATGAAATTAACAGGAATACAGTCAGTTACACCTGACTGCTGCTTCCCCCAGGCCCGGTTGCAGAAATACTGGAAGTCAAAGCACAGATGCAGCAGAAAAGAAAAAAATGCTAAAATGGGATGGGTTGTAGGAACAAACAGAGGCTTGAAGAACAAATGTGGAGACTACAGAAATTTGGCATACAAAGCACCACTTGGTCCATCACATATCTGCACAAAAAATGTTCATAATGATGCAAAGGTAATCAAACTGTTTGCATTAGATTTCCTTTCAGCAAAGCTAACCGTTGTATGGTCTTCCACTATGCCAGTCTTCACTTGTGCAATGTGGACAGAAATTGCTGGTGTAATAACACCAGCCAAGCAAAGAGTCTACTTTCCCACAGTGCACTGATCATTACTTAGGTGGTCTGCCTGCTCTATTTTCTTTATGGCAATACACAGAGTCATGTTTGCAGGAAGCAACATACTGAACAAGTCATACTGCACACACTGCAGCTCATTTGCATATTATTTCACAGCAATCAACTTCAAGTATCTACTATAAGAGGACTTCTCCCCATGAAGATATTCACAAATCATGATCAAATCATTTCTTAAGCTTCTCTTGGTTAAGTTAAACGGAGTTAAACTTCTTACGATTCTCACTGTAAAGCATGTTTTCCAGACTTCAAACCATTCTCATAGCTCTTTTCTGAACTCTTCCCTATTTTTCACAAGCACTGGATACAATATTCCACTAATGCTGTTTGCAAAGGTAATACTATCTCCCTTCTATTCAATCTTCCCCTGCCTATACATCCAAGGACCATGTTGGCCCCCTTAACCAAAGCATAATACTGTGGGAAGTCATGTTCAGTTGGTTTGCCTACCATGATTTCTAAGTCCTTTTCAGAATCAATTCCTTCCAGAATACAATCCCCTATCCCATAAATTTGATCTATCTTCTTTGTTCCTACATATATGTTACATTTGACTGTATACCTACACATGCTATTCACAGGAGCCCAGTTTATCAAACAGTTTACAGATTACTCTGTAAAACTGACCTGTCCTTATTCTTATTCATTACTCCGCTATTTAGTTACCAGCTTCTGTTCTCCAAATTCAACAGAGGGTGATGAAGAGTGCAGTTCCTCATCTCCTGCGGCAGCCCCAGCTGGTGATCAATCTGTGGCTCACTGGTCAATAGTCTCACTTTGACAACCTACCCATAGTTTGTTAGACCTGAACTTGCAGTTGGCAAACTATGAGGACTTACAGAGCTGGAGGCTTTACTGGCATGGAGGGAGAGGGGAAGGTACAAAACAGCAGGAAGCAGAGAATGCAGCCTCACTTAATGATCCATAATTGGATCCAGACCTGCAAAGGTATAGTAGGGGGATCAAGACAAGGGAGGCCCATGGCTGAGCCATTTCTAGGGAGGAGCGCTAAAGACGATAGGGCGAAGAGCAGAGAGGAGACTCAACCAGTGAACCAAGGATGCTTGCCAGCAGAGGGAACTGTCAACTCTGACAGCTATTGATTATGTCAGTGGGAGGTGACCATACTAGCATTCAGTTGATTGAGATGCCATCAGGGTCTTACCTCTACAAATTACAGGGGTAACTCAATGATTGCGGCTGCCCTGATAATCAGCTGAAGCATTTGTGTTTGGACACACGTGTATTTCAATCAATTGCGGGGGAGCAACTGGTGTTTATGCTAGTAAATTTCTCCAGTAGAGAGGAGGACTCCGAACATATGAGTTTAGGAAAAGGGACCTCATCTCCTTATACGTCTGGGGCTTGGAAAATGTCCTCGCCCACATGCCAGAAAACTTCCCCTGGCAAGCAGGTGAGGGCAGGTACACGTAGCCATAATGGGACACTGAGCGAGAAACGTGGTTTGTTCCTTGGGAGCAGGGCTACAGCTGCCCACCAAGTGTCAGTTACACAGAGGCTCATTCTTTCCACTGCCGGGGGAAGGAGACACTGTCCTTTGCTCCTGGCTCTCTCTTTCCTTCTTGCACCAAGGAGTGAGCTGAGCCTCCCCGCCATTCTGCTGCTGCCTGCGGGTAGCTCCGTGAAGCGTATGCGTATCTGAGCAACTTACCTGCTGCTCAGACAAGGGAGAAGAAGCCCCCGACCCCACTTCCGTCCCAGCAGCCGCGGGGTGGGCAGAGGGCAGCGCCGCTCGCTTTACTCCCAGTCGCAGGGAAGGGAGCGCCGGGCGCCCCAAGCCTATCAGACCCCCAGAGCCAGGGGAGCGAGCAGCAGGGACACACCGCAGCGCTTCTTCTCCCTCCAGCCCTGGCGGGGGAAGGCCCACGTGGGGGTGCCCAGTGCCTGGGGGGACCCCGCGCAGAGCATCACAGCGCGGGGCACCCCCGGCCCATCAGCCTCCCCGGCGATACGGGCAGAGCCGGCGCTGGCCCGGGCCCCCCAGGGGCGAGGCGGCGCCGCCTGCACCCAGCCCGGGCTCCCCCGCCCTTTGCGGCCGGCACTGACCTCTCTGCGGGGCCGCGGCCCGAGCCGGCAGCAGGCGGGCTGCGTGTCTGGCAGCGGTAACCAAGGGCGACACGGGCGCCGCCATCTTCCCGGCAGAGTCGGTCCTCCCCCGCCCTTCTAAGTAACTTCACTCAGAGCCTGGAGGAGAAGCGGCCAGAGCCGTCCCCCGGCCGGGTCGCTGCCGCCGTGCGTGACACGCCCTCTGCGCGCGGCAGAGCCCGAGCTCGGCCCCACCCTCTCTCCCTCCGTTCGGGGCCGAACCGCATCCCGCAGGGCCTACAAGCCCCAGCATGCAACGCGCCACCTCCGCCCGCCAAGCGACCGGGAGCGATGCGTGCTGGGAAATGTAGTTTATTCTGGGCTGCAGGAGGAGCTGGGCGGGCAGCTCCTTCGTGGCTGGGCCCGAGGTGAGGCGCGTCCCTGGGGGGCTCATGGGCAGCCTTCTGCCCGTGCATTTGCTCAGTTACCCCTAGGAGGCTGGGACTGGTTCGGCTCACGTTGACTGAGGATGTCTGCCTGTTGCCCCGGCAGGAGAAGTGGTGTGTGTGATTTTACCAGGTTCCTCTGTCTCAGAGGGGGATTTTTCATGCCCCTCTGACTCCTCAACAGGGAAGAAGGCTGGTCTTGTAGGGAAGGTTAAGGATGTGGATGTGGTACAGCTGGGTTCAGTTTCTGTTCTGCCACATCCTTCCTGAATAATGTTAGGCAAGTCACTTAACCTCTCCAGGGTCTGGGTGACTGATCCCTGCGCTGGCTGGCTCTAGGGACAGAATGGGACGTTGCTTGTGTTTCCCTTGCTCAGGGGATGAAGATGTAGACTAGGGTAGCCCTGAGACCTCTCACTTGCACTTCATGCTGCTGGAGCTCCCGTGGGACTTGTGGCAGTGAGGGACGCTTAGGGTAGGGTGCAGATCTGCCTCAGCCATGCCTCTAGTCCCCACCGCTGCCATATGCTAGGGCAACTGGTAAAGGCAGAGGAGTAAGTGGTAATGTAGTGTAGCATGTGCTGATTTGTCATTAAGTAGAAGGGTGAAACAAGCATATTGTATGTGCAGAGAGGTCAAAAAGGAAATGTACAAAACAAAGTAAAAGAAGGGTGTAAAATAAAGCAAGCCTCAGCCACTGATTATTTGCAGTTCCTACTTAAACCCCTTATCTCACTTGGCATAAACTGTACTCATTCTACAAACCTACTGAGTGCCAGATTGGTGCAATTTACACTACTTTACCACATGTATCCACTTACTCCAATTTTTTTTTAAACTTACATGCTGCATATAATTTACACCATGGTTTACAACACTACTGGATTTGATTCAGAGACTTCCATGGAAGTAGCAACTGCTTCCCTCAAGTGTGCCCCAAATTGAATGTGAGCTTCTTTCTGTAACGCAGATTGTTGCAGCTTTGCTTCAGCATAGTGAATTTATGAAGGATCTTTGCAGTTAATTTACATTTCTTGGTGTTGGTCAGCTTATGGGGTTGTTTTTTTTCAATTATGTAGATTTTGTAACTGAAAGTGAAAGGCTAATACTTCTGGCTAGAGCAAGATCTGGGGCACAGAGATGCTGTGCCTCCATTTGCATGCCAGTACACTTTGATGTTGAACAGTAACATCCCAACATTTTCAGTGGGGAGCACATTTTGCTGGTTTTAAGGCAAGATACAGGGACTTGAGCATAAGGAGTCTCTTTCCCTGGTGTAGTCAGGTCAGAAAACCTATCTCATACTCAAGAGAGCATGAGGGTAGGGGATGGCCTACTTCCCTAGCTTGGTATGGCCAATTCCCCAGTCAGCTAATGTGGGCTATCGTCTGCAGCCTGTAGTACAGGGGTGGGCAAACTTTTTGACCTAAGGGCACATCCGGGTTGCAAAACTGTATGAAGGGCTATGTAGGGAAGGCTGTGCCTCCCCAAACAGCCTGGCCCCCATCCCCTATCTGCCCTCTCCCACTTCCCACCCCCTGACTACCCCCCTCTGAACTCCCGACCCATCCAACTCCCCCTGCTCCTTGTCCCCTTACCGTCCCCCCCCGGGACCCTACCCCCTATCCAACCCCCCTTGCTCTCTGTCCCCTGACTGTCCCAACCCCTATCCACACCCCCGCCCCTTGACAGGCCCCCCGGGACTCCCACGCCTATCCAACACCCCTGTTCTCATTCCCTGACTGCCCTGACCCCTATCCACACCCCTGCTCCTAACTGCCCCCCCAGGACCCCACCCGCTATCTAACCCCCCCTGCTCCCCATACCCTGACTGCTCCCCCCCAGAACCTTCGCCCCATCCAACCTCCCCCTGTTCCCTGTCCAACCTCCTGCTTGCAGCCCCACCGCCCGGCCAGAGCCAGCCAGGCCGCCGCATTGCCCGGCAGGAGCAGTAGGCGAGAGCGCTGACGGTGTGGCAAGCTGAGGCTGCGGGGGAGGAAGGACAGTAGGGGAGGGACCAGGGGCTAGCCTCCCCGGGCGGGAGCTCAAGGGCCGGGCAGGTGCCGTGAGCCGGATGCGGCCCACAGGCCATAGTTTGCCCACCTCTGCTATAGTAGCTTGGTATACATCCTACTATTTTTGTCCAAAGGAACAACAGTGGGTGTCCCACCATGCAGTGCTGCTGCCAGCCCTGATAATTCTTGTGCTTCACCAGTAAAATGGCACTAGCAATTACTGCATTGTTAGTATTTCTCTGCTCCACGTCCCATCCCCACAACTGCTACTCCACCCAGAAAGACCAGATTTTCAACCACTAGTTTCTACTGCCATCTCATCTTTTAATGGCCTCCACAGCAGCCAACACAAACATAAACAAGTTTCAAAGCTTATCATCACATATGGCAGCTCCTCCCATAGTCTGTTGCCTGTAACCATTACACTGAGACCACATCTGCACTATAGAATTATGTCGACTTAAGTTATCTTGGTGTTAAGCCGCCGCAGATATTACATCGCTTGTGCATCTCCACACTATGCTCCTTGTGTCAGCAGTGCATGTCCTCACTAGGAGTGCTTGTATCGATGCAGAGAGCAGTGTACTGTGGGTAGCTATCCAACTGTGCAACTTGCCACCATGTAGCACTGGGTGTTTTGAGAAGGTTTTGCAATGCCTCATGGGACTGAAACGAGTTGCACAGTGGTGACTGGGAGCACGGGTTCAATTTTATATAATGCAATGTTCTCCATCCCATAATGTTTCACTCCTCTTTTCAAAATCACTCGCACAAACCTGCGCATCCCTCCTTGCTGTCCGCCATCTGTGACAGAAGTATGGATCCTGCACAGCTCTGCACTACTGTGATAAGCATTGTAAGCATGGGCTGCCTGATCCTGCAGTATTTGCAGAGTGACAAGAGAAGGCGCAGAAAACATGATGATTCTTTGGAGGCTTGATTGCTGTGGGACATAGAAACTATCCAAGGTTGTTGGCAATTTTCATGGAGCAGCTTCAGATGATGGAGCACCAGTTCTGGGCCTAAGAAACATGCACTAATTGATGGGATCACATTGTGATGCAGGTTTAGGATGATGAGCACTGGATGCAGAACTTTTGGATGGGCAAGGCCATATTCCTGGATCTCTGTGCAGAGCTCATCCCAGCCTGCCCGCACAGCCATACCAAAATGAGATCCACACTGACAGTGGAGAAGCAAGTGGGAATTGTTCTGTGGAAACTTGCAATGCAATTTGAAGTTGGGAAATCCTCTGTGGGGGTTTTTGTAATGCAAATGTGCAGGGTCATTAATCACCTTCTGCTATGAAGGACTGTGATTCTGGGCAATATGCAGGACATAGTGGATGGCTTTGCATCAGTAGAGTTCCCAAACTGTAGTGGAGCAATAGATGGCATGCACATCCCCATTTTGACACCAGACCACCTTGCCACAGAGTACATCAACAGAAAGGGCTACTTTTCTATGGTAATGCAAGCTTTGTGGGATCACCGGGAATGCTTTACTGACATCATTGTGGGCTGGTCAGGGAAGGTGCATGATACACACATCTTTAAGAACACAGGACTGTTCAGAAAGCTGAAAACAGGGACTTTCTTTCCCGACTGGTGGATTACCATTGGCAATGTTGAAATGCCAATGTGATCCTGGGAGACCCAGCCTACCCCTTGCTCCTATGGCTTATGAAGCCATACAGAAGCCACCTCAACAGCACCAAGGACTGCTTCAACTACAGGCTCAACATGTGCAGAATAGCGGTTGAATGTGTCTTTTGTTGGTTGAAGGGTCGCTGGCGCTGTCTACGCACAAGCTTGAACCTCAGTGAAAAAAATATTCCAAGGGATATAGCTGGTTGCTGTGTCCTGCATAATATATGTGAAGAAAAGGGGGAAAAGTTTCTGCTGGGGTGGAGGGCACAGGTGGAGTGGCTGTCTGGTGATTTTGAGCAGCTGGACACCAGGACTATCAGAAGGACTCAGTGCAGAGTTATATGGCTCAGGAAGGCTTTGAAAGACCATTTTAATAGTGAACCAGAGTAGTGAGTTGCTGTAGTTTGCTCTACCTGTCTTTGGTCTTTTGCAGCCCTGTATGAACCCTTTGGTGAATGCTGTGTGTATAATAATATAACATTGCCAAAGCACCTTTTAATACTGTCTGTAAATGATGTCAGCCCCAGCCAGCATGTGTTGTGAACAAATAAAGATGAACTAGGTTTCCATAAACAGACTTTTATTCCATAACAATGCAAATAGAAAAATATTTATAACTTAATAAAACTTCATAAGTTCTTTTTCCGTAATTTATTAAGGGAAAGAACAGTCATTTCCATTTCAGGTCAGTGTATTGGTGGCTGTGCATATCTTTAATGTCACCTGGGGTAGAGTGGTAGGTGTAGTAGGGAGAGAGCCTGAGATATAAGCTCTTGTATTAGAGGCCTAAGCTACAGTAGTGGGCAAGCTTTGCTGATGTAAAGCAAAGTTAGAAAAACTCAGGCTGTGAGCAAACATCAGGCTCTGCCTCCTTGCAAGTTCACAGAATCTGTCAAGAACAGGGCTGATATTGCAGAAACACATATTCTTACGAAGTACTAGGCACAGAGTACTCATGCAAACACATTCCAGAAGATTGGTACCAGAACATCCCAATATCAAGGATGGGACAAAAACATTCCCCCAGGATAATAGGAACACACAGACGCCTCCTAAAAGATAAGGTCAGGATGACAATGTGATGAATAAAGATGTTTTGATCAAACCCACATGTACAAGGAGATGGGTAATAACTAGCCACGTCAAGGGGCAGTAACTAACTATGTCAGAGGGGCAGTATGTAACTTGTTTCTACAGTATGTAACTTGATAGAAACAAGAAGTATCTCTGAGAGTGTCTTGGTCCAGCCGAGGGGGGAATGGAAAGTCCCACCATTCACTGAGCTGCATCCATTGTCATGGGCATACATGTCTTAGTATCCTCGTAGAGTGTGCCAGGTGCTATTTCCGTGCTTTGTCAACAATAAACCTGGCTAGGTGCCTTCGTGCCTTAATGGATCTTGTGGTCATTGGGCAGTTCGCTTGAGGTCTGCTGTGCTGGCTGTCTGCACAGAGCTGGGGCAGCACACAGAGAACACACACACACACACAGCTGAACATCTAACCACAGTAGAGATAGTACAGCAGCCCCTGATGCCACGAGGAATGTTGAGAGGAGGTGTAGGGAGGTCCTGATATGAAGCTCTTTATGGGCTGCAGAGGGAGGCGAGCATGGGATTGTTGAACCTTCAGGTCCACCAGAGTCGGCAGCATGTCTGTTTGCTGCCTGAGAAGTGCAAGAATCTCCTGCTGCACATTCCTCTTCTTTTCTTATGCCTGTCTCCTCTGCGCTCTGTCCCCATCCATACTGTCTGCAAGAGTGATCCTCCAAGCCCTGTGCTCATTATCTGAAGCAGCAGAGCCTTGCAGAATTTCTTGAAACATGTCATCCCGAGTCCTCTTCCTTCTTCTCCAAATTTGGCTCAGCCATTCTGCTGGTGTGGATGGAGAGACCCTCAAAGCCACATTTGCAGCAGCTGAAGATACAATACACAGAAATACTATTATCACTGTATTCGCGAGATAAATCAAAACCTATGATATTGAACTCACTCCCCTTGAGTCGCACAAGTTGTAAGCACTACATCCTCATTTCGCCTTAGGATTTATACAGCATAGTGGCAGTCACAGCACCAGTGTTATGGGGTCACTCACCATACTGGCACCTCCTGGTGGGAAGTTTGGGAATTTGCTCAGCCCCAGCAGATGTGCCCTCGGGTGGTGATGGCTCTCCCGTCCTCACCTCTGCCTGCAGACCCGTTAGGCTCCTTTCTCTCCGTGTCTGCTTCGTGCAGGGCTGTCCTTACGCAGCTACGTAGGGCACCTGAAAATTTGGGGCACCACTGGGTCTTAGTGTCCACCCATCAGCCTTTCCTATCCCTGTTCTGACCCTTCCTGCAGGCTCCGAGTCTGAAATGAAATGAAATGAAAATGAAAAGGCGTTCCAGGCTGCCAGACCTATTAGCACAACATTGAAACTGTTAAAGAGCCATTCAAGGGGTAATGAAGCCATTTAACAGGCATTTGCCAAACCCCAGGTATATACTGTCAGTTTCTTAATTTACTGACAAAAACAGTTGTGCATTACTGTAATATTTACTCAGAACATGTCAGTCTGCAGGACCTTAGTTAAAATTTGCTTTAAAAATATTTCAGTAGTGTGTTGGTGAAGATTATAAAATCACATCTCTAAAAAATCCTTGCATAGATTTTTAGATGCACAATCATCTTTAGCCTTAAATGCTTGGATCTTCAGACATTTTTTTTTTTAATAAATCCTTCAAAAGACCACCCTTATCTAAAATACACATTTTAATTACTATAGTAAAAAAAACTTGCTTCCAAAGTCTTTCTGTCCATCCCTTTCTCCCTTCACCCACTCTTATCCCTCTTACCCCCATTGAAGAGGTTCCTTAAAGGGACAATACCCCTTTCCTTCCAGATAGCTGGACAAAGAGTTTCCCTTTCTTCTGATTATCTGATGAACTAGTTTTAAGAGAACCCGCCGGAAAAATCAGTACCTTAGTAAGATATAAAATCCTTTGTTATGCCTAAATTTTTGGAGACATATTTTTTAAAGTTGGTGAAATTTCATAAATGTGTCTATTGTTATGGAGATCACACAAAGTAAATTAGTGTTCCCTTTCCTACAGGAGATCTCTGTGGAGGATTCACAGGACATCCCAGTGCACATAAACCAATTGTTCCACAGGGCCCCCTCTGCCTAACTTTAGAGGTGGGGAGAGAAGCAGAGAGCAACTCTACCTCTCTTGTTTGTTTAACTACCTCTTCTAGCATAAGTAAAGAGAGTAAATCAAGAGATGTGTCCTGCTGTTTTGGGGGTTCCCTCCCTGTAATTTTAAAGCAAACAGCATACTTACCAGAGGTTCCTTCCCCTGCATCAGGCTTGTGCTGAAGTCAAAAACATGTCCTGGCTCATCGTGCAGCTGCACCCAATTGCCTGTTCCTCATACTCCTCCTCTTCTTCCTCCTCCTCACTGTTCACAGAAGGGGGTCCTCTGACTCAGGCTCCTTCAAAGTATCCTCACGGTTCTTGGAGGTGGTGGCAGGGTCTTGTCTGAGGATGGCATGCAGCTCTTTGTAAAAGTGGCAGGTCCGCAGTTCCACACCAGAGGGGGGGGAGGGATAACTCAGTGGTTTGAGCATTGGCCTGCTAAACTGAGGGTTGTGAGTTCAATCCTTGAGGGGGCCATTTAGGGATGTGGGGCAAAAATTGGGGATTGGTTCTGCTTTGAGCAGGGGGTTGGACTGGATGACCTCCTGAGGTCCCTTCCAACCCTGATACTCTATGATTGTTACCCTCCCTTGCCTTCTGGTACACCTGCCGCAGCTCCTTTGGCTTTCATGCAGCACTGCTGCCTGGTCCCTCTTGTAGCTCTTCTCCTCCGTGCCCCAAGCAACCTGCTTGTAGATGTCGACATTTATGTGGCTGAAGCTGAGCTGTGTCTGCACAGCCTCCCACAGACGCAGGAGATCCAGCACCTCCTGTGTATTCCAAACAGGAGTGTGTCTGCAGCGTATAGCCAGCATGGTCAGCTGAGCAGTTGTTAGATGAGCGCTCCAAGATGGGCAACCACAACCAGAAAATGGAGTTTCAAAAATTCACGGGGCTTTATAGGGGAGGGGTGGTTCCCTGCCAGCTGGTACCTAGGCAGCCGAGTTCACAGTGACCAGAGTGGTCAGAGTTGGGTATTGTGGAACAGCTCCCAGAGGCCACTAGCATGCAATGTGAGTAACGCAGTGTGTCAACCTACATTGACCTTGGCTCTGTACTGCTTGGGGAGGCGGTGTTAAGTCAATGTAATGGGGCAGCTACGTTGCCGGGAGAGAAATTTAAATGTAGATGCATAGATAGCTATGTCGATGTAAGCTGCCTTGCATCGACTTAACTGTGTAGCATAGACCAATGAGACATAACCATCATAAAAATGTGAGCAACATGGCACCTCACATGCTGCTTTTCCTTACTACCATTTATAGTAGCATGAAGGCCAGGTCCAAGTATCAGAGCACATGCCTACCTTTAATATAACTGTGACAGGTTGGTCTGCCCTCTTAAGGGTAGTGGTGCCTAATGGTCAGCTCACCCCATTGTGTGGCTTGGCCCTTTAAGGTTTGAAATGTCCTATATATTTAGGGACCTTGGGGTTATTGATAAAGTGGTCCTGGGAATAAGTGGTGCTTGGGAGAAAATCTTGACACTGTATCTTTAAAGGCCTGGGGCCTCTCCCCCAGGCAACTGAGCAGGGAGAAGGGAACCGCATAAATGCCTCCTGCTTCATAGTAGGACAGATGCCAGCAGGAGAAGCCTGAGGATTAATTGAGGAAAAGGGCTATCTGAGGAAGAAGCTGGCTAAATTATAACCCAGCTCCAGGAGGAGTACTGGGAAAACTAACAAAGTAAGCCACACTTTGTAGAAAAAATTAATAAATCAAACCCCACAAATGGGGTTCACGTTTTTGAATCAACTCAAGTCTGGTAACTGATTGAAAGAACCCAAGGGAGTGGTGAGTGAGATAAAGTGGGGTAGTACAAGGGGGCATGTTGGAGACACACTCACCCCTTGACAATATCCCATGGATACAGCTCATCAAATCTGAGCTGTAGTCGATGGATCTACATAAGGAGCCTTTGCAAATGAAGGAAAAGCATTTGCAACAGTAGCTCCCAATGGGTAAAACTTCCTGTGGTGGTTCAATCAACTTAGGTGCCACTGAGAAAATGCACTTCTTCCATGCCCTCTACCAATGCAAGAGCAATGTAATATCATCCAGCCAGAAAAGCTTCGCGGTGAAAGAAATTCCTCTAAATATGTTATAAGGGCAAAGAGAAGGTGGGTCAAGTTCAGAGGCGAGTCTAAGTAAATCTAGAGAAAGTCTAAGTTGAGGTAACTTACGTCTTTGTCACCCAAGTACAGACAAAGACTTAGACTTCCTTATATTTACTTACACCAATTTGCTGAGGTGTAAATAGGTTTAAAATAGTCTTACTGCATCTATAGAAATTTAGGTCTAAGGGTCTATGAAGAAGTCTAACTTACATCATCATACATGGAACTTCTGAATCTGCTGCAGTGAATTTGAGAGCCAGTAAGGCGGCTCCAGAGTGAAGACCTGCAAGGGGAAAGAGAAGTGTTGTCTTTCCATCTTAGATGGCCTCCTTATCATAGTATCTTTAATGTATTTATTCTCACAACACCCTGTGAAGTAGGGGAAATGCTATTATCCCCATTTTATAGACAGGGAACTGGGGTACAGAGACAATAAGTGATTTGCTCAAGGTCAGACAGAAAGTTTGTGGCAGAGCAGGGAACTGAACCTAGGTCTTCCCAGTGAATGCCTTAACCACTGAACCATCCTTGAGCTCATTGTCAAGCTCTACACCCTTCCAAGAATCTGCTTATTATATTTCTCTGGTCTGTCCTTCTCAGTCTATGTTAAATTTTCCAAGAGCTCTGAACTCTAGAGCAAGAGCCTTGTTTGGCCTCAGGAACACTATTCTTGGTGTGATTTATCTGATTCCATCCCCATGCTTCCTAGGAGATGGAGTTTGTCACAAAGAAAGCAGAACAGGAGTGGGACTCTCAACTGAGGGTAGCCAACTATTTGGATTCCAGCAGTCAAGAGAACTAGATAAAAAGGACAGTGGGAATGAAGGAAGGAACTAGATATAAAAGGACAATGGGAATGAATGAAGGAATCATCAACCATAATGTGTGCTTCTGGGTTATTTGCATAGCTAGCTGCTAGCCCCTTGCTCATCCTCCTTTGTTGGGGGGCATTGATCAGTGTTCACATCGCACTCGCCGTCAGTACCTGGCCCAAGCTGGGGAAGCTAATGATCCAACCTGCGGACCTAATTCAGTGATGAATCCTGGTCCCATGCCACCTGAGGCATGTTGAACATATGCTTAGAAGAAGTGGTCAGTGGGTTCATTGCAAAACTGACTTCCCCTCTTTTCTCTGTGTTGAAGTGTGGAGAGTGTCTGCAGTGCCCTCTGCAGGCTCTGCTGATTGTCCTTCCAGTTTAGCAGAAACACACCCAACAAGCAGATTTGAGCTTCAAGAGTGTTGCTCTCTGAGTACTTAGTGTGGGGGAAAAAGCTGAGATAATTTCACAATCTTCTCATCCGAGAAACATGTAGGAAATACTTTGGATTACCACAGAGACATCAGTTTTCACTGATATATACCTTTGTGACATCCATTTCCATAAATTACTTCTGAGGTAAATTTCTGCATTTCATGGAAAAGAGAAGTCATTTTCATTGAGCACTGCTCAATAATTTCTTCTTATAAGATTGTTTACAAGCTGTACTTTAGTGCCTTAGTTTGCATTTTTGCTAGAAAGCAAAATATGTCCTTAATGCAATTACTAATTTTTAAATAATTATTTTGATATTGAAAATACTAACAATGATTAAAATGTACTTTTGAACATACTATTTAAAAATTGTGTGGTTGCTCAAAACACATTTTCTGTGCTATATATACCTAGTTTAGTAGTGATCTAAAATGCCATTTTTATCACATCTTTAAAGAGTTGATTTTAGTGTATTTCCTTTCTACCCTGCCTTTACTGAGCAGTGATTGGTTTTGACTCATTCTTGTATGATACATACATCAACACCTGTGCCCATTTAGCAGTGAATTTCAGTACAAATCACAGGGACTTGAATAGACATCTCAAAAGAAGCATTACAATTGTAGCAATATTTTTAGAAACTCAAACAAGGAAATAAACAACTTCAGTAAAAGTAATTTAAATAACAAATAACTTATCTTTATAAACTGCTTCTCTCCTTGAGAACAAAGAATAAACAAGGAGACAAGCCTCTTTTCCTTCCATTATTAACTCAGATCACAATATGAATGGGTGAAATGTCAAGAATAATTGGAGCAAATCACAGCATAATCTTCAGCAAAAACATGTGATTTATTTAAATTGTCACTGCTTTTCTTAATAGATCCTCTGTTTAACCTTGTTATCCAAGACAGCATGTAAAAAAAGGCACACTTGGAT